GATCCCTTCCAACTTTATTATTATTACATTATTATTATGACTTTCAAATAATGTATTTATTGTCTTGCGGAACTCATTGCTACAAGATAAGGTGATGGTGACCAGCTTGGCTATCTTTCAGGATGGAGATGCTAAAAGTCTTTGAAGGTTATATGGATCAGAATAATTCTGTCATTAAATACTCATTCCTTGGGAACAAGGCTAAGAGAGGGAACGACGTCGTGTCTTCTTTCTTAGAAATGTTTAACTGGAACATAGGGGGGGGAAAAGGATGGCAGATCAGCAGATTTTTATGTGATCCATCAAGATCAGAGGTAGGCAACCTTGACTCTTTTATGACTCGTGGACTTCAACTCCCAGAATTCCTGAGCCAGCCATGCTGAGGGGAAAGGGAGAGGTTTCCAAGCTGAGCCATGCTGGCTCAGGAATTCTGGGAGTTGAAGTCCACGAGTCATAAAAGAGCCAAGGTTGCCTACCCGATCAAGACCTTTCCCAGAATCTTAGTTCTTATGCCCTTTTGTCATGAGACCACATGCCAAACCATAATGGCAGTCATCAAGTAAAAATTCCACCTTTTTAAACATGTAGTGCATGCTTTTTAAAAAAGGTGGTGAGACTTTGATCATAGCCATTATCTTGATTATTATTTTACTACCCCGCCCCCTTCTGCTGGCTTTTATTTAACCAGACCACAATGCCCACGCACTAGATGGCAGCAGATATTCAGACAACTAACAATCCCAGAATTCTAAAAGAGCTGGCAGATATTATCTCCAGAACCATTGTATCATATCTTTCAAAAATCTTGGAACACCGGGGAATTACCTGAGGATTGGAAAACAGCTGATGTGGTTCCCATCTTCAAAAAAAAAGGGGGGGGGGAAACCAGATGCAGGAAACTGTAGACCAGTGTTTCTCAACCTTGACAATTTTAAGGCATGTGGACTTCAACTCCCAGAATTCCACAGCCAGCATTGCTGGCTGTGGAATTCTGGGAGTTGAAGTCCACATGCCTTAAAATTGTCAAGGTTGAGAAACACTGCTGTAGACCAATCAGCCTAACAATCAATACCT